TTAATTAATTATATCAGTAAAATCACTTTCATAGTAAACAGCTCGATTATTTTTTTTTATTATAAATAATATTTTTATAATGTGAAACTGAATTATTAGTGCTTTACATTTATTAATATAAAAAATTATTGTTTAACGCGAAGTTTCTAAGCTTACTCGAATATTCAAAGTAGTATGAGAATAAGAGTTAATAAGGTCTTGAACTAGAAGTATTTCAATTGAACTTTACTAATAGATGATACGCGTAATAGTTTCGTGCTGTTCTATTGTTTTTAAGAAATATATTTATGTCTGTTATGACATCTTATACTACATAAATATTATATTATAAATAGTTTATCTAATAATTTATATTAATTCATTATACAACAATAATTATTGTCATAAAAATATTTTAATATGTCGTAACCAAAAAATAATGTTACAAATAAATTAATTATTTATTTAACTATAATCAAATATTATTTAAATTATTACTAATTGAAAGATAATTTATTAAAACAAACATTGTATATTTAATTAGTAATTGATATAGTTATACGATAAATGCAGTATATACGAAAATAAGACATTGTTGATTTAATCTTATTCGTAATCTGGCATTTCAATAGAAAATGGAAGAATTGAAACCACTTGTTTAAACAGAATTATCCAAATTTAATTAAAACTTTATCTTATTTCAATCAAATAACGTCAGTTATAATTTTTATATCATTTTTATTGAACATATCGAATGGAAAAACACTTAAAAAATACATGATACATATAAAATAATATGAATTTCGTAACATTAGTAATTCAATTACATATTTCCTTTTTTTACATTTAACAAAATATATATATATGATATAATATTAAAAATATATTAACAATTGAATTTTAATAATCTTCTAACAGAAAAACTTATACAAACACCATAAAATGTGATATTGTATGTAACACATTGAATATCGGTCCCGCATTATTGTGAAATTCTTTTTTTATTCTGTGTAAACATGTTTTATGCGTTAATATATTCTACTTGTCATCGTTTATTTTTGTCTGCATTTGTCTAATTTAAAAAAAAAAAGTAGATTATATTTGATGCAAAATCAGACCAACACACAATCTATAAAAATTTATTTAAAAGTCAATATCTGTTTCGTCGTAAGAGAAGCAATCTTAGTGTCGGCGTTTAATGTGTAATTATTACACTAGATAAGAAGTAGATCTTGTAAATCTCTGTTGTCTTCCCGAGATTTAAATATTTAAGAACAAACTATGGTATTTTTTAGGATCATTGTTTTTCTCAAGCACGTGATGACATATTTGTAGATCTATATGCAAAGATGATAACGTTTTATTATGAGTTAATTACCATGTACATACATATTTCTTTAGCAATATAATTTTATCTATAAATATATATTTTTTTTTCTTATCTAGAATATCAAAATAGAAGTCCAAAAAGAATGATTAACTTTTATTTAAATGTTAATTCTTCGAAATATCTAGATCCAACGTTTATCTTCTTCGCATAATTCTCCCTGTAGATTCAATAGTACGGAAATTCTTTGTACACTTTAAGAGAGTCACATGCACTATTCTTATGTCATCTGCATTGGTACAAAGCATCAATGAACCATTCTTTCAAACAGACAAAGTCTAGAATATTAATTTGAAGACTTTTTTTCTATTGTTCACATTATGTTAATTTTTTTCAAACGCATACAAGTATTTTATTATGTTCTTATTATTTTATTATATATATAATATATATAATATATATTAATTATTATGTTATTTTACAATTACTTCCTATTGTCTATAGCTTACGTATATACGTTCCTTTAAAATGTGAATTTTATAAAAATAAAATTACAATATTTTTAAGCTTGATATTCACATTCTAATATTTGACTTTATTTTTCTCAAACAGAGAAGGAATTTGTCCAACAATGAAAGTTCCTGGCAGCGTAACACAAACGGAACTTTTACAAGAATTAACTCACGATTGTCGTTACGACAAAATGGCTAGACCACCCGGTCTAATTAATGCTTCCGATCCCGTCAAAGTTTATACAAGAGTTTACATATATATACTTAGATCAAATATGGCTAAGACATTGGTAATGTAAAAATTAAAAAATGTTATATCATTATTCAACAAATTCCTACATCAGTATTTATCATTAAATTTATCAGGAAATAAAATGAAAACTCTTAAACTTTTTTATCACATTATATTTTAGCAATTTGGTGTAAACATGATGTTACAATTTCGATATGAAGATCAACGATTGGAATTCTCAGATCTTGCACCGAATTTAACACAAATCTATGGTGGAAAAGTAGCACACGATCTAATTTGGACACCTTCCGTTTACGTAGCTAACGAACGAAGTTCTGCTTCTGTTGGAAATAGTGTTAAAGATTTGCTGATCTCTATTAATCCAGCCGGAATGGTTATTTTGAATACTAGGTCTATGAATATTTAAAAAATTTCCTATTTCTCATTTTAATTACTCTAATAAATTATTAATGCATTTTTTGTTTTATTCTTTATACAGAATGGAAGCTATCCTTAATTGCGGACTACGTTTAGAAAAATTTCCATTTGATGTGCAGGAGTGCCCATTGGCTTTCGAAAGCTGTAGGATGTTATTTTATTTGTTTTTAATATCACATGAATTAGTATATCGTTCCAGTCTGCTGCTTGGAAATGAATGGTATTTTTACCTACAGGGACCTACAATGTACAAGATATGGAACTAGTTTGGGATCAAGAACCAATTGTGCTTGCCGATGAATTACATTTAACTGAGTATAAACTTGTTGAAAAATGGGTTAATCATTCTCACGTATCGTACACCACTGCGCAACAACATTATGGCCACTTTGGTAAAGAGAAGAATAAATAAATCAAGTATTTACGAACAATAAACGTAGATAATAGATGATAAATAAAAGTAATAGTTGAATTACTTTGCAGTTTGTATAAAGAAAAATAATAATTTTCTAATTTGATATAATATATTATAATTTTCATCATTTTAGCTGGTAATTTCAGCTCAATTACCATAACATTTAAATTAGCTCGTGAAATGGGATTTTTCATGATGGATTATTATATACCATCGATATTAATTGTTGTCATATCTTGGGTATCCTTTTGGTTACACATGGATGCAGGTCCCCCTCGAATTGTTTTAGGTATTAATTATAAACCGATAATAATTAATTTTCATAATAATTAAAAAAAAATTAATATATATATATATATATATATTATTCATTTATAGGAACAAATACAATATTGACATTCATGACTCTTGCATCTAAAGTAGAAAATTCGTTACCAAAAGTATCTTACATAAAAGCCAGTGAGATATGGTTTCTTGGTTGCACAATATTCTTATTCGCTGCGATGGTTGAATTTGCATTCGTAAATACGATTTATAGAAGAAAGTACGTATTAAAATTGTTTTCTTATCGATACGATTAAAAAAAAATAATAAATAAAATCGATGAATATTTTCGAACAGAAAAAATGTGCCATTAAAAAAGGTAAACAGCAAGTATATATTAAAATCAACGTTAACGCCTAAATTAGCGAGAAAACAGTTCCAAAAGAATACAACAAGTTTAGAACGATCACGTTCTTGGTCTTCGCTCGATAATGGTAATATCAACGAACAAGATTATTCCAGTCAAAATTACTTAACTGTACACGTAAGTATATTTGCAATAATATTTCCAATTGTATTGATATGAAGGGAAATTATTTGAAATTAGTTTCTATTTCTATAGGAATAACGAAAAATGTAATCAAACTTTTTACATATTGTGTTCTAGAGCTTTCCAAGTACAATCAATATACCTTCGGTAAAGATCGAGGAAGATAAGGATCAAGAATGTTCCGTGGGGAGCATCATGACGATTGACAGTACACCACCACCACCACAACAACCACCGACGAAACCATTTTCAAGAAGGCCAACCCTCTCACAATTACACAATTTCACAACAATGACACCCCAAGAAATAGCTCAATGGATAGACCGACGAAGTAGAATAGTCTTTCCTGTGGCATTTATCATATTTAATATTCTATATTGGTCCTTTATTTGGATTTAAACACAACATCTAATATACCCTGTCAATGCCTGTAATTTCTATTTTTAAAAAAAAGAAAAAAAAAGCACAAAAGAAAATGCGAAAACTTTCGGTTCGAATGTTGTCTCGTTTACAAAAAAAAAAAGGTGAGATTAAAGATGCGAATTATCATTTGTATTACAGCTATAAAAAGAAATAAGGAAACAAAAAAATTCTAGAATTTAAATAATTTTTTAAAATATGAGAAATTCTCTCTAGTTCGAAAGTTGTCTCCCGTTTATATATACATATATATATATATATAAAATGATGTGTCATGTTACAGACAAGAAACGAGATTAA